GCCCCACATGACCCATGGGTCCGACTGGCGCGGCGGCGGTCTCATGTTCGCTCCTTCTCCTTCCCTCGCGCCCGCGCGCGCAAACGCAAACGCAAAGCCCATGCTCTACCCGCAGCACTTGTTTGACGAGCGGAACGCCGGCCCTGGTGGTACCGGTGAGTCGAAGAGTCTGAAGTTTGTCCACCACATTATGTGCCTGCCTCAGCTGGAGGCCATGCTGGTCCACCGATCCTGGTCCACTGGTCCACTGGTCCACTGGACGGACAGTGTACGGCAGCGGCGTTGTCGCAGCCCAGGCACAGTCCACGCCAAACGCAGACGAGCTGGAGCTGGCGCCATGCTGCGGCTTGCATGCTGCTTGATGGCGCGCGGCGCCGCGAAAGGGTCCAGATCCCGCGGTCTCTGGCCATCCACCGTACGCGACCGTCGGATTGCCCCTCGTGTCGGTAACCCCTGGCTGGCACCCGCCAGCTTTCAACCTTCCGCCAACCCGGTAACGGCTTGCTAGCCAGCAGCCAGCGGCGCGGCTTGCGACGCATCGCTGCGTCTGTTTATCGAAACGCTGTCTCGAGTGTCAGGTTACAGATCTTGCGTACTTGCGTCGCCAGCTTCAGATTGTTGTTGCATCTTGCACGTTCGCACAACTCTTGTCATCTCGTCTCTGACGGATTACCGTCATTTGTTTCACCCGTCATCATCCGTCATCCGTCATCTTCACAAACGCCACCCACTACTCTCTCCCTCCCGCTCCCCTGCTCTACTCCCCTCGCCATCTCACATCTCACCCCCCCCCCCCCCCCCCCCCCCCCCCCCCCCCCGCTCTCCATCCCATTCCCCTCCTCGCATCGTCTCCACATCTCCCAAACATCCCCGCGCTAGCTCGTGCGCAGAGCTAATCCCTACCAGTTCCCCCTCCAACACAGCCCCACTCCGAGCGCCACTACGACTCGGCCTCGGCCTCGACGTCCCCTACACCCCCGCTCTCCTCAGCCTCATCTCGTCCACGCTCGCGTTCCGTCTCTCCATCTACAGCCCGCTCGCCATCGTCCGACGACCACGATCCCATACTCCCACACACACAGGCATACCACCAGGCCTTGCGTCACGCCTCTGGCTCTCACAGTCCTTACTCCAGCTTTCCAAGTTTCATCGTAGCCGGCCCCCAACCGCCGCCACCCCCGTCCCCGCGCAAACGATCGCATTCGCCTGCGCGCCCCGTTCAACTAAAGCGCGCGCCGTCATCATCATCAAAGTCAAAGTCGCGCGCGCCCTCCCCTTCGCGGCCCAAATCGCGCCCATCATCGCCTACAAAGTTGCGATCGCGCCCAGACTCCCCCTTCCAGGCCAAGCCGTCGCCAAGCCGCACTCCCACCCCTCCATACGACCACAGAGCGCGCACCTATTCACGTAACCAGCCCCCGCCGCCGCCGCCGCCGCAGGCCGCCTCGGCTTCCCGTTCGCGTCCCACGACCCCATCCACGCCGACTTTTGCAGCAGCAGGAGCTGTCCGCTCCCGTATCCCACAGCGACCACGGGCGTACTCTGCGTCGGCGGTTGAGGCGCAAGAAATACTGGCTGATCCGTCTCCGCCTCCGCTGCCGCCTCTTCCTTTGGCCGACCACGCCCGTGCCCTCGAGGCCGGCCTCGCTAGTGCCAATCCCCCGCGTCAAGCTTTCCCTGGCGCTCCATACACCGCCGACATGTCCGTGAGCACGCGCGCTCCAGAGGCCGTCCGCCTCCCGGGCAGTTCGAGTGGCATTCCCATTTTAAAGACGCGCGTTCGCTCGTCGCCGCGCTCTCCTTCTCCAGACTTTCCCGACGGCGCTGAGCGCCTAGCGGATGAACTTCCACCTTTCCGCGTCGATCTCGACGCAGCCCTAGCCGAGATTGAAGACGAGCTCGAGGTCCGTGCACATGAGCGATTTGTGAGCGCGTTGCCAGCGCCGCGCACTCCCAACTCGGCAACATTCGCGAACGTAACTCCAGGATCGACGCCGCCTTCTAGTATTGGGCCCGCGTCTGTCAGCGCGCCAGTCTCCAAAATCCGCCCGCCCAAGCAGCGCACACGCCCGTCGTTGCCGAACGGCGTCGCGAACGGTGCAAGTGCCACCAATGGTGCCGCCGGCACCTCTACCGCACGTAAGGGCACCAAGCCTCGCGCAGGCTCCGTGCCACTGACACCTAATTCTGCAACGGTGACTCCCCGGGGTAAGGATGGGCTTGGGCGTGCTGCATCATACTCGACCTCGCCCGAGGGGCGGTCGAAAAGCATGCCGCGTAGGAGACATGGAAGTGACACGGCGCAGCTGGCGCAGGCAGCAGCTATACGACGCAACACACCGACCCTATCCACTCCACCTGCAGGGCGGCGAGCGGGCACGCGTTCGTCGACGAACACGCGGTCCAACAGCATGTCGAACCGCACAAACCCATCACCTCCAACACAATCACAATCCAAGCTCGGCATAGCTGCCCATTTCGTCCCACCAGAAACGACATTCACGCCGCCAAAAGGCGCCGACTGGGACGATGTCGTGCTTCCCACCGTGGCGCGCAAGACAGGCATCACCGTCTCGCAAAATGGCCACAGTCTCGAACACGGACACAAGTACAGCCACAGCGCGAGCTACAGCCTGGGATCCAACAGCTTGGGCTCCACGCCGCACGAAGACGACCTCCTCGCCGTCGAGTGGGACAAAGAGGGCACGCCAATACGCTGGGAGCGCCAGCGCCCGAGAGAGGGTCTGTCCGAGGACGACTTTGCGGCGAACCGCGCGGCCGCAGGCGCGCAGTGGGCCGTAGACGACTTTGGCGCGCCGAAGCGAGACGGCAAAGAGGAGAGCATCGAGATGGCGCCGCTCCGCAACCCGCCCTCGCAGCTACAGCCGGCGCCGACGCCGACGCGGCCGCCCAGAGCCGCGGGGAGAAGTCCACAGTCGTCCCCGCAGCCGGTGCAGCAGCCGTTCGCGGGCCCGCCGCCGACCCAGAGGCCAGCGCATGGAGGGCAGGGCGGGCAGGGCGGGCACGCCAAAGGCGCGCACCACTTCCCGCGGCCGATGGAGGTCGCGGCGCCGCAGAGCCCCAAGAGCTCGCGCTCAAAGCATGGGCGCAAGCGCAGAGACGAGGACGACATTAAGACGGGCGGGTGCGGGTGTGTCATCATGTAGCAGTTGTACGCGCCATGTTATACTATACGCTTAGTTAATGGGATTTGTGAAGGGGAGCAGTGGTGACAATGGGGACGAGTCAGATACCTATATGAAGAAACTGTCCGTGCAACTTCATCTCCCAGGCCAGTCTACACGCCCTGCCGCGCGCACCCCGTACATGTATAGATGCATGACATGGTACAGACACGACTCATGCCAGCGCAATTTCAAAGACCAGTAAAAAAAAAATAGGAAAACGACGAGTGGAGCCAAGGCCGGCGGCGCTTGGAGCGATGCGGATGCTGGGAGGGGCGGGTCGACAGGTGGTGCTGGCGGCGATGATATATGGGGTGGTGTGGGTCTAGACTTCTAACCGTCTTTCTACGACTCCTTGCGGAATTCTGAGGTTAGTGGGACCCAGAGGTGGTGAATGCGACGCGCAAACTCACCGACCAGGACCGAGTAGATCTGGTTGAAGGCCATGTAGATCTCCTCACGGACTTTGGCGCCCGTGAGCACAATCTTGCCCGAGACGAAGATGAGCAGCACGACCTTGGGCTTGATCATGCGGTAGATGAGGCCGGGGAAGAGCTCTGGCTCGTACGAGCTGAAAGCGCCGTGGGAGAAGGCCAGGCCCTCCAAACGGATGGGGAACTTGACGTCGCAAGAGCCAACAATGTTCTGAATCTTGAACTCTGCAAACTTGGCGTCGAAGCCCAGCTTCTGGATGATGCGCGCGTATTTGCGCGAGGCCAGGCGGCTGTCGTCCTCAGACTTGGCGCCAGTCACCACCATCTTGCCTGATGCGAAGATCAGGGCGGTCGTCTTCGGGTCGCGGATGCGCATCACGACGGCAGCGAAACGCTAGCTGTTAGCAGAAGTCGGCGGAAGAGAATGGGGGCCAGCCAGAGAGCAGAGACGGTCGTGGCCGAAGAGGGGTTCCGGCGAGAAGCATGAACAGACATGTCACCCTCCAAAGAGCTCTTATGCAAAGACGCAGACGCAGACACCTTCGCAATCAACCGATCCACCAGCTACTCACCTTCGGGTTGTACTCCGCATTACGCGCGTGCAGCGCAATGGTCTTGAGGTCCAGCCGACACTCTAGGTTGACCGTCGCGACAATGTTCCTGAGAGTAAACATCCCGCCTCCTGTTGCACAGAAGTGGAATACCTACTGAAGCACGGGCACGAGGCCCTGCACCGCGGTGATCTCTGGCACACTGGCGGGGGGGCGGATGGGTGCCCCATTCCTGCTGACCGAGTCAGACGAGGCGTCGGCGGCAGAATTGGGCACCGCGAGGTTGGACATGGTGAAAAGGATACGCGATGGACGCGGCAAGCGGGGCTGCTAGTGCAACGCAGGACGAGGGGGGGGGGAGGGTTGTCGCCGAGGGAGGGGTGATGAACGAAAGGGTGGGGAGGAAGTGAGTGGTGCGGCGGAGAGAAGGTGGGAAGGCGGGGTGGGAAGGGATGACGGGCGTTGGGTGGCGACTGGTGAAATCGCTTTTCGACACACCGGCAGAGCGTGGGCCGTGGGTATCACTGGGAGGACTGCTGTATGCGTAGGGAGAAGATGGTGGATGGCGTGGATGAAGCGGATGGGATGGATGGGATGGATGGAGGAAGCGGTGGCGACGGGTGAGGAGTGGGTGGTGTGAGAAGAGTGGGTGATGGCAAAACCCACTGCGACGGGGGATGAGTGAAGGGTGTTTGGTGGTTGGGGTATTATATACCCCCGCCGTGAGGCAGTGGGGCAGCGGCGTTCTGGGCGGGGGGCCAGCCGTATTTGCCGCCCGAGCTGAATTAGACATCTCGCCGAGCTCTTGTTGATGTTGTACTCATCACATCCATTACATCCCCTCCACAGCATACTCTACATGCATGCATCTCCCTTTCATTGTCATGTCTTGTGACGCTGCGTTTCGTGTATCATGTGTCACGTACCACACAGTCCATGCTCGCGTGCCGTCCATGAAGCTGGCGCCTCTTCCCACACATGCCCACACAACAGCGCTGGCATGCATGGGTGGGTGGGAATGGCTTGAATCCGCAGCTGCTCAGACGCCACGCGTTTCAACCTCCGATCTACTGTACAATCACAATGCTCATCATTCATCACTGCGCCGTCAGTGTTGGTCTGCTGAACAGTACAAGTATCTAGATGTCCGTACAGTACCCTCATGGGATCACGACATCACGAGTGGCCAGTAATGACATGCAACCCCGCATCGCACCGTTCGACCATCGACCAAGCAACCAAGTATCAGCCAACTCATGCCGCTCAACAATGCAACCAGACGCGCAGACGCCTTATGTGTTACTACCACACGGGTTACTGGCATGCGCCAGCCCACGCACTTCTCCGTAACCTTCCACAACCTCACGCCCTCTCCCTCCTTGCTCTCGAGTCCTATGCCCCAACCACTGTACTCCACCTTCACATTCGTCTAAGCACATCTCTAATCCGAGTCGGACGCAACATCGTTGGGGTCGTACATGTCGTCGTCGTCGTAGTCTGCGTTATTAGCCGTGCCAGCATGTATTCAGCTCACCCCTGGCGATGTCCTCATCAGCCCCAAGCTGCGCCTCAGCCTGCGCGCGCCGGATCATTGCGCGGACCTTCTCATCGTCCGAGTTAGGGTCCGCGCCCTCACGGTACGGAGGAAGAAGGTCGATGGGGCGCTCGCCGTGGCGATTCTTTATGCTGCCGTCAGCTCAATATCCGCACCTACGCGAGACGCACAGCATGTTCGCGCCGCCCTCGAGGAGCGTGCCCACTGGTGTTAGCTGGCCCGAGACGCTGCAGGAGACGCTGCTTGACGCACCAATATACAACCGCACGCCCGGCTGGTCCTCCCAGCGCTGCCGTACTGCGATGTGCAGAGGGGTTTCGCCGTCGAGGTTATTAGGGATGTCGGGTTCACAAGAGTCGTGGTCAACGATGTGCTCCAACACGTCCGTGGAGCCGTGGATGACGCTGCAATCAGCTACAGCGTCCAGTGGTAGAGCGGACGCACGCGTAGTGAAGAGCTGGGGTCAGCTCAGTGCCGAGGAAGGAAGGAGAGGGAAGGTCAGCTCACCAGTGTTGCCGAGACTGTGGAGTCGTCAGCGAGCTCAAACTTGGGCTTACCCGTCCTGAGCGTTGACGCTCAAGAGCTGATCGAGTGCGCTCAGCAGCAGGTCCTCGTTGTCCGTCTTAGCGGCTGCGAAGAGACGCTCCCCTGGCATCAGTGGGTGTCGGTCGGTGGCAAGTCCCGGCGATGCGCTGGCAGGGACCGTGCGCTGTGGGACAGCGGCATGCGGACTCACGAGGCGAGGCGCCGTCTCCGTTCTCGGTGGGCGGGGGTGGTGGCGCGGCGCGTGCTGGTGCCGTGCTCATTGTCAGTGAAGAGTGTGAATGAAAGAGAGAGAGAGGTCGGGAGTTCTGGGGGTCAACAATGCAAGAGATCGCAGTCGCGTCGTCGGCACAGGACTATTTGGGCCCCAGGGCGGCGCGCGAGGCGGCATGTCCACGTGGCAAACAGTCTCGGTTTAAATGCGGCAAGCGACGTCATCGGCATCGATGGTCTCTTCCCATCCCCCAGCCGCCCCAATGCTACTGTAATATGGGCGTCTTTTACTCATCTCCCTTCCGCACTCACCTCGTTCTGATCCTCTAACCATCATGACATCCATGCAGCGCTCTCTCTCCACCCCCGCGCCGCCCGACGCGCCTCCCATCCCCTTCTCGAGGTGAGTCAAGTCACCTCCTCTTCCATCCCTCCGACGCTTTCAATTCACTGACAGCCAGACCCGTGACGCCGTCGCTGCGCGGCAAGCGATGGGCCTTCCTTGGCCTCGGCGAGATGGGCAAGCGCATGGCGACCAATCTTGCGCGCACGCTCACGACGCACAACTGCCCCCCGCTGATCGTGTGGAACCGCAACCCGGACCGCGTCGAGGCCTTCAAGTCGTGGGCGAGCGAGCGCGAGGTGCACGACAGCACCTTTGTCGTCATGAAGGATCTCAAGGACATCGTCAAGGAGTGCGCCCCGGCCGCCCGTCAGACACTGACATCAGAGCGGACGTTGTCGTCACTAGCCTCAAGGACGACGCGGCCGTCAAGGAGGTGTACGCTGTGCTATTCGCCGCCGAGTCGCAGCGCGACACGACGTACGTCGACATGTCCACCACATACCCCACGCTAGCAGGCGAGCTCGAGCGCCGCGCTTCATCCAAGACTGGGCGCAGCTTCATTGCGTGCCCCGTCTTCGGCGTGCCGCGCGCCGCTGAGCGCGCCGACCTTGTCCTCGCCATCGCCGGCGACTACTACGCCAAGAAGGTCGTGGCGCACACTCTGTGCCCCGGCATCGGCAAGAAGGTCATGGACATGGGCGCCAACGTCGAGCGCGCCCTGTCGTTCAAGCTCGTCGGAAATGCTCTCGAGCTGGGCTTCGTCGAACTCATGAGTGAAGCCTTCACTCTCTGCGAGGCGGCTGGCGCAGGCAGCGCCCAGCTCGTCGAGCTCATTCGTGAGCAGCACGGGAGTGCCAGCCTGTTGCGCTACGCCGAGCGGATCCGCAACAACAAGTTTGACGCGACCGGCGGCTTCACTGTCGCGGGTGGGCTTGCGGATGCCAAGCACATCCGGCAGCTTGCCGATACTCACAACGTGCCAATGCCGACGATTGATGTGGTGAGTACCTTGAGGCTTGAAGACTCGCCTGCTCCATGATTGTTATTGACGTCAGGCGCACCAGCATCTGACGACGGCGCGGGCTGTCGGCGGCGAGGACTACGACTGGACTGCGCTGGTAGCCGGCGAGCGCATCGCCAGCGGCCAGCCGCCTTTCGCGGGCAAGGTGAGCGTTATTAGGACATCCGACGGGGACAAGCTGACAACAGACGCGTCTCGAGCGGTACGAGGGCCCGTAGATGATGACACATGGGGGCAGTAGCTCTCTAGCTTTGTAACGGATGAGATTCAGCAGTGTGTGAGCCTGTATGTCTGACATGGTCGCAACTGCGGGTGCACCTCGCGCGGCGCTTGGAGTCCCATCGCGATTCAGCGGGGCTCTGCAGCCTCATCCGCCCACACCGACACTTCTGCCTTCCTCTCTCGCTGACGCTCTTGGCCAACCTCGCCCGCGCACGACCAGTCCTACTCCTGCGAAAACCCACGGGGCTCCGCCGCTGCCCCAGCCGTAGAGAAGCCTCATGCATGCCCGACTAACCGTACACGCTCTCCCGCCGAGAGCACATCTACTCGTCGGGAACGACGATCTCGCCGTCGTCGATAGCCTCGATGACGTCGTGGGGCGGGCGGCCGTCGACGGTGCAGCCGACGGACTGGGCCGTCCCGAGGATCTCCTTGACGCCACCGGCAAGGTCCTTGGCCATCGACTTGTGGGCCATCTTGCGGGCGATCTGGCGTCAGTGGGGATCAAAGGAGACAGCAATTCGAGGGACGGGACGGTGCGTCAGGAGGAAGGTTCTCGCGCGGTGAAAAAGTTGTTCCACCCCATCTCGCGCCTCAGCAGCCTAGCCTCCGTCCATATTGCACCGCCTGGTTCGCATGCTCGCGGTCGCAGCCCACTCACGTTGTAGATCTCGTCAAGGGGAATGTTACCCGAGTGGATAATGTTCTTCTCCTTCTTGCGGTCACGAGGGGGCTCCTTGAGCGCCTTGATGACGAGCGACGAAGCCGAGGGGACGACCGAAACCGCAGCCTGACGGTTCTGGATCGTGAGCTGGACGGTCACGCGGAGACCCTTCCAGTCGCCGGTTGCCTTGGCGATGTCCTCTCCGACTTTCTTGGGCGACTGCACGTCAGTGTGGTTCCCTGCTTCCCTGCGTCCGCCTCCTCGCTAGCTCGGCACCAGGGCAGCGCCGCTGGAGCGCGCCGACTCACGAGACCAAGAGGACCGATCTTGGGGGCAAGCGCCGAAGAGGCACCAACCTCACCACCGACGGCACGGAGGTAGATGATCTGATGGGCGGATCACAGCGAATTCGCGTATTTGCGCGTCGGGAGCAGCGGGGAGCGAGAGACAATGACGGTAGGGGAGGGGATAATCGAGTGCGCACAATCGGTAGAAGCAAGCGTCAGCACGGCGTCCCAAATTCTTCCAACTCGGCGCACACGGCGCGCAGCGCGTCCGGACCAGCGCTCGATCCAGCGCCGCGCCGCGGCGCTGCGTCCGCTCGCGCCGCCTCGTCGCACCCACCTTAACCTCGGAGGGGTCGAACTTGGGAGGCATTTTTGGGTAGTCGGGGTGTTGAAGGTTGGAGCGGACGTCGACGAGCTGAGCTGCCTCGAGCACCAGCCCAGGCAGGGACAGCTACGGTGGGACTGCAAGGCCACGCGAATTGGTCCCGCAAGGTCATGTGACTTATCGCCGACAGTTGCGATCGCTCCGTGCCTGGAATCGAGTGTAGCCCCAGTCAACCCAATGTTCTCGAGACCCACAATGCATAGCGGATGTGTGGAAGGTAGAGCGCGCGTGATCCACGAGGAGCACAAACGGTCACAACGAGCCGAGCGTGTGTTGTTGAAGCTGGATCGAGGAAGTTCATCAAGGCTGATGGGCCGTATGTGGCTCCGTATGGGTCGCCGATCGCCTGATTACCAGAAATCTCCTGCGGCATGTTGCATGTCGAGCTGCTGGCCTTCGCTTGCTGGGCTGCTGGGTGGCAATTTGAGCCGAACCTCCCATCGTTCCGGCACCTCGTTCTGACGCAGATGTAAGAGGCTCAGCCCAACCCCAATGCTTTCTCACGAACTGCTGCACCGTACACCAGCGCAGCTAACGATTCCTCCTCCTCCCCTGGGTGGGAGTCTACGGCCGTCTCTTCCGTGTTCTCCGCCGGCTTCGTGATCACCCACACTTTCACTCCAGACATGCCACCCAAACTCCCAAGCTGCGTCGGATGTACAGAATGCATCCCTCACGGAAGACCGTAGTCCCCAAATCACCCTCCTCGTACAAGCGTTCGCACGTCCAGGCCGCGGGCGCCCAGACGCTAACGAGCCGCTTACCGGTAGCGGCGGAGCGAAAGCGTGTTGTGCTTGCGCCAGGTGGCCGCCTGGGGGGTGTGGTTGAACTTGGAGCCCTTGCCGAGACCACGGTTCTTCTTGCCCTCCGAGGTAAGGCCACGAGCCTCGCGGTGCTTGTGGACGGGGTTGCAGATCCAGTTGATGCGGGCGTCGCGGCGGATCGCCTTGTGCGAGGGGTCGACGAGGATGACCTCCTGCGTTGTCAGCGGGCTGTTCTGCGAGCTCTTCTCATTCATTCTCTGCCTTCCCTCGCTGCCTTGGCACCTTGGCTCCCGTCGGTAAACTTTCGGACACTCACGTAGAACTTGTAGACACCGTCGGCAGCGACCTCGTACGAGTTGAGGACGCGGAGGTTGCCGCAGCGACGGCCGACACGCTCCTCAGCGGTGGTCTTCAGGCCACGCTGGTACTTGAGGTGGTTGACACCCTGGCGGACGGGCTTGCCGTAGGTGGCACCCTTGGGAGCGGGCTTTTTGCGGTTGCCACGGCGGACACGGACACGGTAGATCACGTAGCCCTGCTTGGCCTTGTAGCCGAGACGGCGCGCCTTGTCGGGGCGCGAGGGGCGAGTCGCGCGGTGGATGACCGCGAGCTGACGGTACTCCCAGCAGCGCACACGGGCGACGAACTGGAGGACGTCCGACTGCTTCTTGGTGTAGAGCTCCGTAAGGTACCTGAACTATCAGCGGCGTGTGCGTGGGCGAGAGCGGAGGCGTCGCTGTGGTCGCTGGGAGCGTCGCGGTGCTCGCTGCTACTCACTTGTAGGCGCCCATCTCGACTAGTCTTGCTGGTTGACGATTTCCACAGACGGCGAGCGTACGACCACCTGTACTCCCCCGAGTGTTCAAAACTCGCGTCCAATTCCCGCGGCGTTTTGGCGTGGCACACGGAACGGAGGCGAGGTCACGTGATAACCGACCTCCACCCGACTGCTCCACCTCTTGGACTGCTTGTGCTTGATGCTCCGAGTCATGCATACTCATGCTGACACCCAACTCTTCAAAGCATGGTACGCAACTGTCTCCCGGACATGTTTCTGGACATCATGAGAACAGCTATCACCTATCCGAAGCCCGACGCATTCGGCGCTTCGCTGCGGGTTATCCGTCCACAGGAAGGCGCTCTTGGTTCTTGAGACTGAGCGACTCCCCCATGCCCGCGGAAGAGACGTAATGCGATCCGCAACTGCCATCGGCCGTCCACGAGCACCAGGCCTCTACTTCTCAAGCGTCTGTGTTCTCCCGCAGCGTACGCATGTATCGGGGCCGCTGGAGGTCCATGTGGTGGCGCGGGGAGTGCATGAGCCTTGCACACATGCGTTGTGGTCGTGTGCTCGACACTGCTGTTTCAGGCGATTCATTGGCTTCGTGGCGATTGGTCTTGGTCTCGTTATTTGCTGACTGGGCGAGCAGAATGGAATGCATGCGCACGGTAGTCACCGCCGAGCTTGTCAAGGTCAGTCACGGATCACCCTCCTCGATGAGAGTAAGGGGGGTAGCTGAATGGGAGACAAAGCGCTACACCACTAATTCACTCTTGCCAACTTCACTCAACTCCAATTTCTCTGCTCTTCTGCGGTCGTTTCTCGTCTACCATCTTCTCATCTTCAGCTTATCTACTCTGCTTGCACTTCTCCTGCCCACACCACGACAAACACCTTGCACCGTAGTGGAGGCCGTGACCCGGGTCTTATCCGCGCCACCCCTGTAACCGCTGGCGCGTCATCCGCTCCGCGCAAACCACTCTGCATTCGTCTGCCACAACTCTAGCCTCGCTCGCTCACTCCTCGTCCATCTCCACCTTCGTCGTTCGCTCCAACCACCGCTCTTTCCGGCCTTGACACATCCCCCGCCGCTCACTCCCTTCCCCGCGTGCAGTAACGCATCCTCCTCGGCCCAAGGCGCCCAAGCGCCGCGCCGAAGCAAATCTTGCGCTCCGACATGAGCGCGCCGAGCCCGGCGCCGCCGGGACCCTCGGCCCCCCCACACCATCCAACACAACCCCAGCCCTCCTCCGCACCCCATGGGCGCCCACATTATCCACTCCAGCCCTCTGGCGAAGAAGGAGAAGAGACGAGTCTGCGCGAACCACCTGGGGCGGACCTGTATCCGCACCGCGGGAGCCTCGCCGACTTTCGCGCCGCAGAAGGCGCCGCCGCGCGCGCAGCAAAGCTTCGCTCCATCTGGGCGCAGCTTCCCAAGCTGCCCGACGTCGACCCCGACCACCCGACGGAGGCGCAGCGCATGCGCCTCCCCGGGCAGGACACGCTCGACACCCTGAGCCCCGAGCGCGCTGACCGCCTACGCACGCTGTACACCGAGGAGCTGGTCAAGCAGTGTGGCGAGGACCGGCCGGACGCGCGGCTGTGGGGCGGCGCCGACGACCTCGAGCCGTACGAGGCCGCGCAGAAGGGCGTGTCGTGGAAGGCGTTCCGGTGAGCGCGCGCATTTGTTTGTGTGTGTTGACAGCAGAAAATTCCTTTGGGACCAGGAGCGGCAGCTGTGGGACGAGTTCCAAGCGCTCGACCGGAACGGGGACGGCGTGCTCGACGCCGAGGAGATGCGGTCAGCGCTCGAGCACCAGGGCGTCGAGCTGAGTCAGAACGCTGTGTCGGACCTCGTCCGCCTCCTCAGTGGCACGCCTGATCAGGAACACGTGACGTTCACTGAGTTTCGCGACTTTCTGTTGCTGCTTCCGCGCCGCGCGACGCCCTTCGAGATTTACAAGTTTTACCAGGTACACAAGCGGTTCAGCGATGGGCGCGGCGCCGCGCGCGTCAACATGGACGGGGACCCGATTTTGTCGTTCCCCAAAGCGCCAGGGGGTCCGGAGCACAGCACGGCGCAGGGCTTTTTCCGACCACACGACCATGACGACCCGCAAGACGATCTCGAGGACACGCTCGACGTGCTCGGCGACGAAGACGAGGACTACTACGAGCCGGAGACGCGGCATGAGGCCTGGCGCTTCCTCCTCGCCGGCGGGATAGCGGGCAGCGTCTCGCGCTCCGTCACGGCCCCGTTCGACCGTCTCAAGGTCTACCTCATGACGATGAACATCCCGCAGACGCCCGGAAAGCCGACGCCGTGGCGCGCCGCGCACAACCTTATGACTGCCGTCCGCGCAATTTACCAGGAGGGCGCGGGGATCCGCGCCTTCTGGGTCGGCAACGGGCTGAATGTGATCAAGATCTTTCCGGAGAGCGCCATCAAGTTTGTCAGCTACGAGCAGAGCAAGCGCTTCCTGGCAAAATACTGGGACGGCGTACACGACCCCGCCGAGATCAGCTCGAGCTCGCGCTTCATCGCCGGCGGTATCGGCGGCATCACGTCGCAGCTCGCCATCTACGGCCTCGAGACGCTCAAGACGCGCGTCCAGTCCAACATTGGGCCCAGCAAGGGCTGGCGCTCCGTCCAGCAGACGGCCAACTACATGTGGCGCGAGGGCGGGTTCCGGCCCTTCTACCGCGGTCTCGGCGTGAGTCGAGTCTCCTCACCTCATTGGGAAGCCCACACTGACTCCAGCTCGGCCTTATTGGCGTGTTCCCCTACTCGGCCATCGACATGGGCACGTACGAGACGCTCAAGACGGCATATTGCCGCAGCTTCCACGTCGACGAGCCGCCCGTATACGCCGTACTCTCGTTCGGCGCGCTCAGCGGCAGCATCGGCGCCGCGAGCGTGTATCCCATCAACTTGCTACGGACGCGACTCCAGGCGTCGGGGAGTACAGGCCACCCGCAGCACTACACGGGCTTCATGGATGTGCTGCACCAGACATTGCGCAACGAGGGCTGGCGCGGTCTTTACAAGGGCCTCCTGCCCAGTATCCTCAAGGTCGGGCCGGCCGTCGGCGTCAGCTGGATCGTGTACGAGGATGCCAAGCGCAGGTTAGGCGTGTAGGGTAGTCATGTGGTGTCCCGCGGGACTGTAGTGTACCGGCAGACGAGGGAGGCGTCAGCCGCCGCCAAGTTGGCATAGTCATCATAGAACTTGCATCGCATTTCATCACGCTCTGCTGTCTACGTCTACAACTACGTCTAAAGTGATGTCTAACGAGATGTCTTACGTCTAAATTCACTGGCGATCATTGACCGCTGACTCGGGTGAAGCTCCGGGTACCGGGCCGCCCACCTTGGCATTGTCGTCCTTTGACGGTGTACCCCCTCCGTCCATCTGCGCCCCGGCTCTCTTCTCCGACGACACGCTAGCCACACCTTTGATTGGAGTCGTGTTCAAAGCGCGCGCCTTGACGTCCTCGGCGGCGGCAGCGACCGCGCTGCGCGCCCGCTTTCTCGCCAGCAGCTGCTCGCGGAGCTGCCGCTTCTTGCGATCGGCAAGTAGCTTCTCGCGAAGCTCGGCCGCACGATCGCCGCCCACAGCGTGCCCGTTTTCCTCTACGGGCTGCTCCGAGGTGGGCTCCTCGGTGGTATTCGGCGGAGCTGGCGCTCCGCTGTTCTCAGCTTCAGCCTTGGCCTCGGCCTTGGCGCGAACAAGACGCTCCCGCAGACTGTGCCGCCGGTCCGCCGCGCCACGAATCTCTATACCGGCACCAGCCACGGCGCGCTGGAACGCCTGCGGAGGCGCGACGCGACTAAGCAGCGACGGGCCGCTATCGTGCACCTGCTTGACGTGCCGCTCGCGCTCGGGTACCGCCTTGCGCTGCGGTTTACTCTTACGGAACTCGGGGTCAACCCAAGAGTCACCCTGGTCCCAGCGCCGGGATGAACGAGGGGACGATGGCGATCGTGACCGAGAACGCGAACGTGAGCGCAGACGAGGGCGGAACGAGTCGTACCCTCGACCGCGCCCTGGTGACGATGGCCGCGACCCGGAGCGGGATCGACCGCGCGATGGAGATCGAGAACTTGACCGAGACGGCGCGGGCGAGTAAATCCTTCCCCGTGATATCGAGCGACCCGACCGGTCTACTGACACTGATCGCGAACGAGACCTCGACCTTCCCCTCGTTGCCTCCTCATACTCCTCCTTTCCATACTGGACGACATCGTCCCACTCTTCAAGCGAGAACGGGCTGCGGAGAAACGCGGTGAGTTCGTGCACCAGGTGCTCGGCTGCGTGGGGGTAAGTATCCCCAACGAGCGGCTCCAGCAGGTGGACAGCGGCGGGGGAGCGCAGGTCAACAGCAGAAAACATCTTGACGAGCCGGCGCGCGAGGTGCGGGACATCGTGGGGCGGCGCCCATACCCGGAGCTCGCGCTCGAGGAAGGTGAGGGCACGAGCGCGCTCCGCTCCGGACTGCAGATCATGCGGCGTAAGCGCTACGCGGTAGCCCGTCCACTCGTTGGCGCCGACGTGTCGTGCCCACTGCTGAGAGGCATAGATCTCGCGGCGGCGAACGATGGTGAGAGAAGGTCCGGAGGAGGGGCCTGCGCTGGGAGCTGGCGGGGAGGGAGGCCTGATCACTCGGCGCGTGAAACCTTCTTCCAAAGGCTGGAGGAAGAACTACCGTCAGCTTTCGAGCATGAGGCCCGCATCTTACCTTGGTCGGCTGACGCTCGTCGAGGTCGTGCTCAATGTACTCGCCCATGTCGGCGTTGCAGAGCGGGCAGCGGCGAGAGTGCTCGGCCCACACGCCAAGACAGGTGAACTGGTGTGAGTGAGTCTGAAGATGTGCTGGTCAAGGACCAGTGGCACGAGGTGCGAGAGGGAGAGGCGAGGTGAGAGAGGACGTACGCAGAACGTGTGGGCGCATCCGGCGCGCGCGGGGTCGCGCATGGGGAGGAGACAAATGCAGCATCGTTCTGGTTCGTGGTTTGACGCAGCGGCTCGTGGCCGTGTACGCGCCATGTTTTGATGAGAGGAAGGGAGTTGGATAGATGGAAGGAAGAGAGGAGAAGGATTCAGAGTCGACAGCGAGAGGATGACCAGGATGGAAGCTGAATTCGAGAAACACGGATAGTGTGCCTGGTGCGTTCATGACCGGAACCGTATGGTTTTACAGGCAACGTCCATGACAGACACGAGCGAGTTCGCCTATACAGTACGCCTAGTCATGCAGATCAATGCTTCTCGCTGTTCATCGCGCACTCGGCATGAATGCCGCTTCTTGACAGACTTCGCCCTTGACCCCGCAACCTCATGCCTCATTCAGCCCTCGCCAACAACCAAAACGCATCGCACACACCCACACGCCGCACACACCTCTTCACTCGACAGGGTATAACATCATCCGACGATACTATGGCCGCTTTCGACTCGGTATTAGCGGCCGCTATGCGGCACATTTCGTAAAAAGAGGGGGGATAAGAGTGAAAACGGGTTCTTCGGCGTGAGGGGGTCATGAACATCGTGGGGAGTGCGCCGTTTTTAGCGGCGAACGGTACCGCCCTGGCGGTGGTAGGCGGCCATGTTGTCGATCTCCGACTCGAGAGCCTTGATAGACGTGTGGGCCTGCTCGAGGTCCTTGTTGAGGCGGTCGCGCTCGGCGATAAGGTGCTGCTCCCACTGGCGGAAGCGGGCCTCTTCGACCTTGACGTTCTCGGTGAAACGCCGGCGCAGCGCCTCCTCCTCCTCCTTGAACTTGGGGTTGTCCAGCTTCTTAACCTTGGGCTCGCCAAACTTGCGCGTCTCCATCTGCTGCAGGCGGTAGGCCTCGTAGTGCGTCTCCTCTGTAGACGAGATCAAGTCCAACATGTAGGTGCGGATGAGGAGCGAGCGGAGCTTTCTGAAGTCGCAGTGGTCCTCGTTCTCAACCTCGGCCACACCCCACAGGTACTGACGGCCCTTGACGACACGGCCGTCGGTGGTGCGCACGTCGTCGGTCGAGCCAATAACCGAGAAGGGCATGATAGCCTGCATGAGGCGCGCGTTGTCGGCGGCAGCGTCGTCGTCGACATCGATGGGCGGGGTGTACACCTTGATGCCCTGGGCGTGGATAACCTCACGGACGCGCTGCTTGAAGAAGAGCAGGTCCTCGGGGGTAAGGGTGTCGGCCTTGGCGACAACGGGGATGAGGTTAACGCGCGTGCCGAGACGCTTCATAACCTCCACGTCGAGGGGCTTCAGCCTGGAATGTTAGTCGCTGCGCCTGGTTCATTGCCATCTCGCTGCCGTTTGCGGCCGGAGGGCTAGGTGCAACTCACGTGGTGCCAGATGGACGGATAAAGTAGAGACAAGCGTGCACACGCAGGTCCTGCTTGGTAATACGCATAGGCTGCTGCTCCTGACGCATGTACGACTCGTGCTGGTCGTCGATAAACTCGACGATCGGTGCCCACGAGTCGCGGTTGTTGACGTAGTCTCCGAAGCCAGGGGTGTCAATGACAGTGAGGCGCATGTTGAAGCCGCGCTCCTCGAGGTCAGCACGCAGGATGTCGACCTCAGTGGTCTTGTCGAGCTGCTTGGCGAAGCTGAGATCAGCGATCACACACGTCGATGAAGCGTTGTGCGCGCGTGTGGAGACTCACCGCTGGCGGTAGTTGCGGGCGTTCGAGATCTCGGTCGCAAACAGCGTGTTGATGAAGGTTGTCTTGCCAAGACCCGACTCGCCTGGAGTGTGAGCGAAAGAAAGCGAGGGGGTTGACGGTCGTGGAGAGGAGAGGAGCGCGCGCGGACCACTCACCGACCACCATGATAGTGAAGTGCGCGCCGCGCTGGTTGACGATCTTGTGCCTCTGCAATGTCAGCGAGCTCTGAAGATGAAGCCAGCGGACATCGCGCGCGCGCGCTGTCTAAGAGACAACCGAGGGCTGGACAGCGTGCGATGCGCGTCGATGACGAGGACGGACCTGGTTGGGCAAGCTGGAGGTGGTCAGTGCGAGTCGACGGAGAGCGGGACGGGACAGAGAGGGTAGGAGCGGACGTACTTTGCGATACCGATCTCGCCAGACATGGTTGGTATCGTGTGGGGGGATGAGGAGGGGAGTTGGAATTGGGAGAGGGAGGGAGATGGAAGGAGACGAGAGAGAGAGAACGAGAGTGCGGTTGAGTGAACGGACGGTGGTGAGGGAGGGGTGGGACGCGGCGACAGGGGGTGGATGGATGGTGTGGGCGGCAGGCGGGAACTCTGAGGAGGGAAGGTGGGACGTGTCGTCTGCCCGCCTGGGTAGCTGGGGTGCAAGGAACGCGCCTGGACCTCCTCCTTGCTCACGCCCCTCACACGCGCCGCGCGCCTGGGTGGAGGGTGGAGGCACCGCCAGAGACCAGAGGGGCATCAGAGCAGAGGCAATCTTACGACACCAGGGGTAGACGGGATCAAACCCACGCCACCGGGATCGTCCATCCAACTACTCTCTCTGAACTCTGCCTGTACACTTCCTCAAAAAGGTTTGTTCGGGCCCAACGAAGCTCACAAGAGTGGACCGTCTACCTTTGCGCACTGCAAAAAACGAACCCCATAAAGGAGCCAAAACAATGACCTCTGGCGGGATCGAACCGCCGACCTCATGCGTAAATGGACAACTCCTGTTAAGCATGCGCTCTAACCAGCTGAGCTAAGTGGCCTTGGTTATCGCAAGTTCAGCCTGTCTTTTAACATATCCGCCCGTGCATTATTCTTGAACGACCAGAAGGGAGGGAGGTAGTAGCTGAAGAGGCAGCCAAGTTACTTCTACAGTTAGCACACTCAAACATAACTATCAGCACCCGACTGGACCCCTGCCCCTGGACTGAACGTCGTGACTGGACGCTTAATAGCTGCTCTTCCGCGTATTCTTTACATCCGTGAATCGCTTCACTCAGCAACCAGTCCCAGTAGACTCATGATGGACCTCCTCTGGCGGGCGATGGCCGCTGCGAACAGCCACGCGTGCTCCTTGTATCTTCAGTCTTGGGCGACAATGTCCAGCACGACTCGCGCTACGCCCCAGCAGCCTTGGCGGCCTGCAAGAACGCCACAAACTCGGTGGGGAGGCGCGCGGCGTCGTCGGCGCCTGCAGACCCCCATGCGCGCGCCAGCGCGAAGAGATACGCGGGCGGGTGGCCGGCCGTAAACGTCTCGAGGGGCCAGGACGCGGGGTCGAACGTGGGCCGCCCGCGCGCGCCGACGAGCAGGTGCGTGTTGTCAATGATGGCGCGCTTGCCGCGCCGCTCGCGGTCCTCTCGTGGCCACTCGGTATACGGGCGGCCTGCTATGCCACTGCCACGGCCATTCCCGTTTCCGTTCGCGTTGATGCCGTTGCCGTTCATATTCCCACCGTCGTCTTGCCGGCGCCCTCCGCCCCACTCGACCGAGGGGATACGCAGCGTCGCGACGCACGCTTCGACGCTGTCTGCGTACGCGCCGACCAGGAAGCCAGGGAGGCCGAGCACCGCCTGGTCGCGGTTGCGGACGCGCGCTTCGAAGTGGGTGGTGAAATTCGCAAGTGCAGCCTCCATCTGCCACCGGTGCAGGAAGGAGGCGAGGGCTTGGAGGTTCCGGACGTGCCACTGCTCGCCGGAGCCCAAGCGACCTTTAGTCAGCAGGTAGAGAACGAGGCGGAAGATCGGGCCTGTTTCCGTCCCGTGTTGGAATGTTATGGAGTAGGCGGCGGCGGCGGTGTGCGGATGGAAGAGGGTGCTGAGGTCAGCGGCGAGGCGAGGCGTGGGTAACACGAGGCAGGCGGCGGTCAGAGGCACAATGGATGCGGCAAGCGACTTACGACGCGGCGAGAAGGTAGTACGACGGCACGCGGAACCGGACGCCGTCGGAGGTGATGACTTCAAAATCACCTGCCGTCCACTCCGTGTCGTCTTGCAGGCCAACACAAGCCTGGAGAGGCGATATCGGTGCCAAGCTGAATTCCGAGTCCATGGAGCGGGGCGTGGCGAGCATGATGAGTGTGTCAGGCTGGCGCACTTGCGACTAAGTGGTGAGTACTGGTACTGAAGAAGAGGCGAAGACAACTGGGAAGAGAAGAAGGAATGGGGAAAGAATAAGGAGAACAGTGGCCGGAGCCACAGGGCAGCAATGAGAGACGCTGCGGGGTATGCGGAGCCCTTCCGTGAGAGAAAACAGACCTGGGACGAGCTCGTGCATGCGTGCAGGGTGAGTTCTGTGGCGCCACGCGACAGGTGGGCGGCGCCGGGCGAGGTGGCCTCTGCGCCCTCCGCTTCCTCAAACCCAGACAAGCGCCATCAGCGGGCCCAAGCGAGGCGGCCCCCATCCCTCCGTCAGTCCCGGCCTTGGCTGGCAGCGCCAGCGTCCGTGTCCTCCATCCGTGCATATCCTGGACTTTGCGAGTCGCTACTCTCGCCTCTACACAGTCAGCAGCTGCTCGAAGAAGCCCTGGTAGCGGCCGAGCTTGTCGCGCGCATGTATCTCGAGGATCCAGTGGCGGCGGTGCCCGTTCTTGCCTGCTTTCGCCATGGTGTCCCCATTGCCCTCGGCGATGTACAGGGCGATCTTGTCGCGCGGGATGCGTTCGTGCGGGAACTGGCCGACAATGTGGCCCGCAATCGGCGCGCCCCAGTCGTACCCGGCGCGCTCGGTCTCTTCCTGCGCAATTCGGTATAGCTCTTCGCCGCTCATGTCAGGCTGCGCGGTGTAGCGCGCCTTGACGCGCTGCCAGAGCGGCTCGAGCGCATCCACTAGCGCCCGCTTCTCCGGGTCGTCGCCCAGCACGTACGTGCGCCCAAAGTCCGCCTCCCACTGTTCGAAGACTGCGTCAGCGAAGCTTGGTAAAGCACAAGCATACCTGGTCCCAGGTCAATGATGAGGATGTCGTCCGCCTCAATGTTGCGGTCGGGTGGGTTGTCCTCAAACCTGGGGTGAGCGTGCGGCTGCGAGCACTACCTGGCGCCGGCGCCGGCGCCGGCGCTGACTTACGGCCGGAGCGTGTTCGGTCCGCTGCGGATGATGCGCTTGTGCCAGTGCGTGCGCACGCCGTACTTTGTCTGGCCGAGGTTGTGGATTGCGTCAGAGAGTGCCTTCTCGCTCATCCCAATAGTGATCAGCGAGGGAATCTCGTTGAACATCTCGACAGCCTTCTGCTCGGCGTCAACGAGCCCGGCAGTGTACGCCTGTGCGTCGGCGGCGGAAGGGGTGGCGATAGCGGTAGCGCTCATGGTAGCGTGAATTACTGATGGAAAGTTGGTCAGAGATAGGGAGATGGTGGGCTAATCCGTGGCTCTTAAGTGGTCGACGGGGTCTGAGGAGCCGACCGTAGCCGCCGGCTGAGTGCACGCCAGCGGGGGCCCGCGGTTGTCGGCCATCGCCGAGGCGTCCCGGGCCCGAGGTTTGACGCGGATCCGCCTTCTTCAGCTTCACAACCTGCACGAGTAGTTGCAGGCTGACTCATGAGTATGTGGTGTGGTACGGCTCTTCTAGGGAACTGGCCGCACCTCTCTCCGGTTCGGGGTTCAACTTCCTGGCTGATGATCTGAGGATGAGCTTTGCACACGGTGTCTGAATTCAATTCGGTGGTCAGCTGCTGATTCCGCGTCAGGCCGAGGAAGTGGGAGCTAGCTGTCTGAGGTGACGAGGTCGCGGAGATCCTTTCAAACTGACGAAAGCCACCTTCTTCCCAGAAGGCTGTGAGCGCGTGCATGGGATCTTGTGGAAGCTGTTCCTGCCAAACCCACAGCAGTCAGTTGCGTGATCGTGTCCACTCGTAGGTGTCAAAGTCTTCATCATCCACGGAGTCGCTGGGGTCTCGCCCGTGTCGGATATGATTGACGATGCTCACGCGCACGGCCGGCGTCTGAAGGGTGGTAGCGATGACAAAGATACGCTTCTGTGACTCGGCATCGGCAGGCTTACGTGCCTCGGTCTCGAGCTCAGACATGGGCTTGCGTGCAGCTCCATTAATTCCGAAGACGGACAGTAAGCGGAAGGTGACATAGTCGTCATGTAGATTGCAACAGGCTTGCGCGAATTCGGCACTGATTTGCTTGGTTGGAAGAATCTCAATTCCGGGTCCACGAACTCGACGCGACAGCGCTTGTTCGTTGTCGGGGACGTCGCGTACACCACGGAACAGATTGCTAATGTTAGCGGGACGCTGTGGAATCTCACCTTCCCGTCGGCATGTGGTACCACGAAACGCGAAAGCCAACATGATCCGAGGGCACAGGCTCCATGGGGTCTGTGATCGTGCTGTCATGACCGCCGTGTTTGCCGCTGGTGTCGATGTCGCTGCTGTAATTCTTGCGCTTATTCCATACGGCGTGTCGTAAGGGCTGAGAGACGGATGGGAGGATGTGGAGAGTGATGATACTACTCACTGCGAGTTGATCTTCAGGTTCCGCAGCACTTCCTGCTGGGGCAATCGCGTTGACCTTGACCACTCCCCTTCGTCACCTTTCCTTGTGCGTGAATCGCGCAATTCGTAACCTGCACCCTTCCGATCTCCCGGTCTTGCATTCTCAATCCGTACAAGCCTTGTAGCTGCCCATGGCTCGTTTTCTGGACTGTAACGTGCCGGACCCAAAGCTCTCAGCTAGATGCCCGCGCCATGTCCCATGTCAATCAGGTAAGGAGGAAGCCGCGGTCATGATACTAAGAGTACTACAACATGATATGGCGGCGAAGCGAATCACGGAGGGGAATACAACCTATACAACAGTCATGTCGTTGGAAGCGACAGAGGGTACAGTGCCGAGCCAATGTGCAACAGGTGGAGGCGTGGACGGCTCAGAAGCTCCCTCAGGACCATCGCTCGCGTCAACAGGCTCTCTTTACCATGCACATCACTCCCAGTCCCAGTAGTACTCGTTGATCTCAGGAGGTTTGTCTGGATCACGGTAGTCGCGCCACCCAGGCTTGATGAGCTTGAGGTACTTTTCGAACTCGTCTGCAAGCGTAACCCCGGGCGGCGGGGGCACGCCCGCAAGCTGGCCGTGCGCGCGCGCCAGCGCAAACTGGTACTGGACGGGGATGCCGAGGCGCCACGCGCTCTCGGGCCACGAACGCACGTCCCAGATACTCATGCCTGGCCGCGCGCTCATACGGTGGTGCAGGCGGCCGTTGTTTCCGCGTGGCCACGTTTCGTTCGCGCGCTCCTGCACCAGCAAGTGACAGAGGTCACGGTCGTCGGCTGTCGCGGCGACCGCGAACAGCTCCAAGCTCCCGCCGTACCCGCGCAGGATCGAGACTTCGCACTCAGAGTGGATGAGGCGCCGGATCGGGTCGCAGTCATACTTGTCCGCGAAGAGTACCAGTTCGCGCAGGTGTCTACAGCTCCCGTAGACGCGGGAGCGGATGTCGCCACGCACGGCCGCACACAGGAAGAGGCGGATCACAGCCGCAGTCTCGAACTCGCGGTCCGTTAAGGTTACGCTGAAATCCTGCGTCCCGTCCCCGAGGTTGTACATGTCCCGGAACACTTTACTGGGGAGATCAGCGGAAGGGTGAGGGCGAGGACACACCTGTGTGCGACGAGATAGCAGTGGCTCACTCGGAAGCGGCAGTTGTCGACGCTGATTAGCTCGCAGTCGCCCTCGTTGAACGTCTTGTCATCACGTATCGTGTCCGAGTCAACCGATTCTGTCTCGCCGGCAATGGGCCCGGCATTGAGAGCGTGGATGATATCTGCTCGTGTGGGCATGAGGAGTTAGGAAGAGAGAGTAGTAATCAAGGTGACCTCATCGGTTGCCACCGATTCCATGTTTCACGTTTTGTATTGCCCTGCTCGCCACTACTAATACTCATTACAAGTTTCGCCTGAAGTGGAGGTGGAGGTTTGGTGGAGGCCCCTCATAAAAAGTCGAGCGATCGGTGCCTCTCCTCCGCCGCTGCTCCTCTCCTCCGCACTCCACTGTAAATGGCATTTGTGTTGGCGTCCGACGGCGTCTGAGGGCGGATGTACCTTCGGCGCGGTAGAATTCGAGGCGCTGGGGCCGAGCTCCAGTCCAAAGAGTCACTTGTTACATACACCATGCTAGAAAGAGCCTCTCCTCGTGCTGGACGGGGAAGACTGAAAACCCAAAAAAAGCATTAACAACAGAAAATGATGGAGTGGGCGTCGCCAGCGACGCCGTGCAGATCACCTGGCCGTGACGCGAAGCTGCTTTCAGCATGCGTCAGAGAGGTGAAGCTCGCAACTCACCGATCAGATCTCGGAGATGACCTTGATATAGCGCTCGAACTCGGACGCAAGCTTCGAGCAGTCGCCCTTGCCATATGCGCGCGCGAGCGCAAAGAGGTACTTCTTAGGGGCGTCCTCCCAGAAGCCGCGGTTCCAGCTGGCCGGGGACCAGGCCGAGTCGCCTGGCGTCGACCAGAGCAGGTTCCCATCCTGGACCTTCGGTGCGACCCACGTCGCATCGGGGTATGTTGCGAGGACGATGCGGCAGATCTCGGGGTCGTCGGCGTTCGCCCCGACCAACCATGCGATGTGCGCCTGCACGGCGCCGCGGTGCACCGCGTTCTCGAGCTTGGCCAGGAGGTGGCGCTTGGCGCGCTCGCAGTCCCACTTGCCGAGGAAGAGCACGAGCTCCTTCACGTGCGGCATATAGCCCTCGAGGGCGATTTTTCCGTGCACGACAAGGTGGAGGAAGAGACGGACGACCTCGGCCGTCTCAATTGTGCTGTCGAAGAGCGTGATGGAGCGCTCGGTGTCACTGTCGAGGCCTTGAGCACCCTCAAACACGGCGCTGCGGTCAGCTAGGTGGTCATAGACATGGATCTACGCGGTGCGACTCACGAAGCAGCGAAGAGGTGGTAGGAGGGCACCTTGAAGCGCACATTGTCAGACGACACGATCTCAAAATCGCCCTCGGTGAATTCGGTGTCGTTCGTGATCTTGTCGACCTCGTCGCACAGCGACACCCAGTTAAACTTGCTGACGATAGCGCCGTCCGGCATCTTGTTCCAGTGTTGAGAGAGTAGCAAGAGGAGAATAGTACGATGCCAAAATATGGGCCCGGGCGTGCCATCGCAGTTCCTCCATGCTATGCTATCGACTCGACACTGGACCATGCATCGGGTCGGGTGAAACGATGGCACAATTTCTTGGACGTCCGGAGGCCGGTGCGTGGGCAGCGCGACTGGGCCGGGTCGGGCTAGTCCGGTATGCCCGGTTGCAGAGATCGGGGGATGTTAGCCTGAAGCGATAACGCCACATTTGAGAGGCGGCGCCGAGTCGAGGAGATAGGAGGGCATTGGGCGGGGACAGCGAATGGCAATGCGGGGATACGACGCTGCGCCGCCATATCTCCGCAGCTGGCGGGCAAAGATTGTCAGCAGTTCCGCGTTTCCAACGTTGGCAGACTGGCTGTGGGCGGGGAAGATGCGGCAAGCCATGTACGGGAGTATGTTCCTGGAACTTCGTATGCTTGGCGTGATGCTCGAGTAGAACTCGAGTGAAGAGAGGTATTCACTATGGAGGTGGCGGCTGGACATTCGGTTCGGATATTGCAGGAAACGAACAGGCGGCCAGGCGGAGATCGTTCGGACCTGTGGTGTCCGAACGCTATATGAGCGGCGCACATACTCTACCCCGGATTGCCCACAACTCGGCGAGCCAGAACACTGGGGTCCCGCAGGCTCTAGGCTCTTGGGCGCTCCGTGCAGTGCTCCGTGAGCTCGTACTTCGTTCCCTTGCGCCCGTCTTGACCCACGTCCGCCTGAGGTCCGGCGCGCCATCAGAACATATGGCAGAGTTAATGTCTTCCCGCGTAGGCTCACAGCACCGCCGGCATTGCTGTCGATAGCGTGTGATACCGGAGCAGAGAGCTGGACCATGAGCTTCCGTTTCGGCGATGCTCACCCCAAGCTGAAGGTGTCACAGGATGTGAGAGCGCCCATGTGACTCGTAACCTCAACGTCACCTCTTGTCTATTTCTTGACATCCCGGGTCTCACCGCCACGGCGTGCAACCTCACTGCTCATGCTCGATACGCTATCGGGCTTCTGCTTACTCTGGGAATGGCTGGAATCCGACATACCTTGGGATTCTGCATGACACCTTGTGGGATGCAAGGAAGGAAGGATGAAGAGCTACAAATCATGAGGTGAATCACCGCTACGTCATTGTGGGTCGCGAGCACGTCCTTCCACAAGTGCAGCAATCAGCACACGCGATTGCTCGTCCTGTTACCCCAACAGAGATCACATTGCCTATGTCGCTCAACCAATCCGTTCTGCGCACCTCAATCAAGTACGTCCCCAAACCCCTACTACACACTACAGCGCCCAAATATTCAGCTATGAAGTCAAGCCTGCTCAAAGAGCGTTGCTACTCTCGACCAGCCCGAGATAGCGCTCAAACTCGTCGGCCAACGGTTTGGAACTTCCTCCCTGCCCGAAGGCTCGCGCGAGCGCGAACAGGTATTTGTTAGGAACACCACAGTTCCACGTCGACGAGGGCCAGTGCCGGCAGTCCCAGACGCACCATCCCGGGGTGCCGTCCAGAGGTTTGGCCTTCGTCCCTTCCCTGGGCTTGCCCCAGACTTGCTTTGCCTGCCTCGTCAGGATGAGACGACAGAGTGAGGTGTCGCCGATGGCTGCTGCAACGAGGAAGAGGTCATGGGCGCGTGTGCCGCTACGCCGAATCTCGATCTCAAATCTCGAAGAAAAGAGACGGCGGGCCTGAATGCACTCGTACTTGTCGAGGAACATCACCAGCTGCCGGACAGGATCGAGGGTCCATGCGGCAAGGAGACGGCCTTTGCTGGCGAGACCAAGGAACAGGCGGAAGATGTCGGCGGTCTCGCAATCTGGGTCGGTAAAGGTGATCTTGCACTTGGCACCATTGGCAACGCTGTGGGCATTGCGGAGCACGGCGCTGACATCAGGGGCGCGGAGGCAGGTCTCACCTCGAGCTGAAGAGGTGGAAGCTCGGGACGCGGAAGCGCACATTGTCGGCAGTGGTGATGACCTCGAAGTCACCGTCGGTCCAGACCGCGTCGTCATAGATCTCCGCCTCGCCACGACCAGACCGTTCACCCTCGGCCATGGTGGAATGATGTGAGGTACGTGCGGTGATGATGGACAGTACGATGTCAAGATGGTTCAGTGAGACCGTGCGACTCTGCGTCTGGTTGACTGTGCCCTCGAAGAAGAACAGAGAAAAGATGGGCGCGAGCCGTGTTGCATGTGACGTGTGAAAAGTGCGGGCTCCTCGCTCGCCCTCGGAGGATCGTAGGTCTGATCAGCGGAGATGCGGTAGAGGTGTGGACTGATCATGTGGAATAAAGGTGTGTCTGCTTTGCACCACCTGCACACCACAGAATTACAAGATCCAGTCGTGGCGTGCGGCATCTTCGCACATGTTCACGAGTCGCGAGGATGCTGGCATTTCCGGTCAGAACTTGTGACTCGACTCATTTGGGAAGCTGGGTAAACTCAAACCGGCTACGCCTGGCTGGAGGCCGAGGGACGCTCGTATCAGTATTGTCAGGTGAGTAGCGCGGATATCCCTCGCGTGATGAGATGACTGCTATATAGCTTGCTCAATTGTCACAACATCCGAGTCCTCGTGAGCGTGTAATGCTGGAGCTTCTGGACCCCTGCATTGTTTCTGTGTCTACCTCTTTATCTGCCTTCAGCCGCCTGCTCACTCGTGGTGCTTGTGAGCGTTCTCCTGATACTCCTTAACGCCGCCGCCGTAGGTGCGGACGTTCTGGTACCCGGCCTTGCGGGCAGCGTCCGCAGCGGACTCGGAGCGCTTGGCGGCCCGGTCGAGGAAGACGATCTTCTGGTTGTACGCTGGCTTGGGGAAAGCGAAGTCCTGGTGTTAGTCGCGCTCAGTTGTGCAGCATGATTTGGGCATTTGATCCGCCGTGGGTGTAAAGATATTGTTCTCCCACGGCCCGCAGAGCAGCCCGATTCGTGATACTCACGTTCTGGAACTTGCCGGGGTTGTTGCCCTCAGCGAGTGCTTCGGCAACCTTGCTGAAGGGAAGGTTGACCGTGCCGGGAATGGGCGAAATGGCGGCCTCGTCAGGCTCACGGGTGTCGATGAGGAGCACTTCCTGTGGTCAGCGGAGCGTTCATATTCCTATGCTGTGGATGGAGAGCGCATTTCGTCTGTTCCGCACACTTAGGCGCCCAGAGAATCGCGAAAGGCGGTAGTCTGCAGGCGTTACTCACATCGTTGGGCGAGCGGACGTGCTTGTTGAACTCGGTGAAGTTCATGTCGGGGCTGCTGGCCCAGGCGTCCTTCCAGCGGGCGGCCGAGGTGCTGAGTGCACGGGGCGCGGTGCGGACGGGGGTGCGGAGGGCGGCGCGGAGGGCGTACATGATGCTTGAGATGCGTCTGATGCGAAGTGATGAGAGGAGAAGAGATGAGGTTGGAGAGAGAGGAGAGTAGTAATGAAGTGTGTGGGAGCGAGGTGTATGAGAGTACGGCATGGTGATTGACGTCATCCGGCCCAGCGGGATGTCATTGGCGAGACCACGCTCGGCTGGGCCTGGAACAGAGCGCTCCGACTCGGACTCCGCCTCGGACAGACGTAGTGAGTCGCGCGAATGTAGCGTAGTCCGTCCGCTACACCATGCTGGCGCCCGTCGCCGGCTCAACAGTCTCTTTGTCTGCTTCAGCTGGCTAAGTTGGGTGGCAGTGTTCATGTCTCGCTCCTGGGTTGTGGAGGTGGCGTTCCACTTCAATCCATTGCCCCAGTCCACGTGGATTGCACGTGAAGGTGGAGGTCTCTTCTTCTTCGATAATTTCGCAATCCGCCCTGCTCACTGAACGACTTCGACAATAACAACAACAACAGCAACAACGAGATGCTCTACGTTATCGGCTTGGGTCTCAGTGACGAGAAGGACATCACGGTCAAGGGTCTGGAGGTGAGACACCATTGCTTGTGGGATGAGATTTACTGACTTCAGGCCGTGCGCGGGTGCGAGCGAGTCTACCTTGAGGCGTACACCTCCATCCTCATGGTCGAGAAGGAGAAGCTTGTGAGTTGCCGAGTGTACCGAGTCATGTGTATTGGCTGAGATTAGCTGACAGTCAGGAGGAGTTTTACGGCCGCCCCGTCATTACGGCGACGCGCGAGACGGTCGAGCTCGAGAGTGACGAGATCTTGCGTGACGCAGACAAGGTCGATGTCGCTTTCCTTGTCGTTGGTGACCCGCTAGGGTGAGTCGAACCGGGGACTCTTTCGTGAATCTGCACTCGCGGTCGTGACTGCGCCCATACACTGTGCGATCGTTCAGCTGTGCGGTCTCGCCTGCACGCAAGCCGTTGGCGTGAGGCCCGTCTCACCCGCCTTCCCTCCCGTCTGCGGAGACGACTAACCCAAGTGCCACGACCCACACCGACCTCCTTCTGCGGGCGCAGAACCGCGGTATTCCCACCCAGACGATCCACAATGCCTCCATCATGACCGCCCTCGGATCCTCCGGCTTGCAGATGTACAACTTCGGGCAGGCCATCTCTCTCCCCTTCTACACGCAAACTTGGACACCGGACTCGTGGTACGACCGTCTCGAGGAGAACTTGCGCTATGGGATGCACACTCTCGTGCTTCTCGACATCAAGGTCCGCGAGCAGAGCGAGGAGAACATGGCAAGGTAAGGAGGCTCGGCTTGATGCCGCGGTTTAATCTCGAATTGGGGCCAGTCTGACCTCAGGGGCCGTCTTGTCTACGAGCCGCCACGCTTCATGAATCCCGCCACTGCGTTCGAGCAGATCCTGCTCACCGAGGGTAAGAGGCACCCGTCGTCCGAGGTTGAGGCAGACATGGACGACGATGACGACGTGCCCGTCGCTGCCGGCCCGACGCTCATGGATCCCGAGAAGACGCTCGCAATGTCGCTCTCCCGCATCGGCACGAGCACGCAGAAGATCATCTCGGGCACGGTTGCCGAGCTCGCCCGCCTCACTGCCGAGGACTACGGGGCACCCCTCCACTCCGTTGTGATCGTCGGCAAGCGCCTGCACCCCCTGGAGGTCGAATTTGCCGGGCGCTGGTGCGTCGGCGGCGAGAGCGGAGACTGGTGGCGCGTGGCTAAGGAGGTGTATGGTGTTGAGCGCGAGTCGTTCGACTAGGCGGCACCGAGGGGGTGCGAGGTGTGCACGGAGGACCGACTTTCAACTAGTTGCTAGACGCTTTCTGCAGCGATGTATTCATATTTTAGATCACCTGAAACCAGCTTGTGATGTTGTACCACTGTTATCACTGGTCGGGCCTCGATCATCGCTCGCTTGACGGGGCATGGCTGAGGTGATGGCGAACCCCAAGCGAGGGCTGACTAAACGGGACCAAAAGCTGAAATCGCCACCCAAGGCGTCCGTTGTTGACACACCTTGAGCTTTTGCATCCTCCTGCCGCATCTCCCGTCTCCTATCTTTCCAATTGCACTCGCAAACATGGCCTGGGTACGTCGCCCCACACTATGCGATGCATGTGCTCACATTAGCTCCTGTCCTCGCTCCCCTCCATTCCCGGATGGTCTGGCTCGGCCCCCTCCCCCTCGGCTCGCGTAATCCGCTCCGGGAACATGCCCGGAGGTTTCTCCTCGCCCAAAAATGAGGACGAGGAGGAGTACGACGACACACCCCCGCAGTTTCCTCTGCAAGACTCGGCGCAGCGCTCAGCCCCATCAGCACTGCCAGCCGCCCCAGCCATCGCTGTGCCCGCACCGTCCTTCGCGCTGGCCCCGCCCTCCCCCACGTCCTCAACGCACAGTGCCTCGCCGCCATCTGATCTCAACATCGCGATTGTAGACGCACCGCTCGGAGACATGAGGTTGCCACACAGCACGACCGCGCGACCAACGTTCGGTATCAAGACTGGCGGCGGGCTGGTGGCAGACAGGAGCGCAGCGGGGCGGGGCGCTATGCCGCCTCCACCAACGACGAATGGTTCGCGTGCGGTCTCTTCCTCTTCTTCCGCCCTGAATCCCGCTCCGTCACGGGCACTGGCTGCGGCAACTCCAGCGAAGCTCGCTGACGGGTCTGCCCTCTCTCCCGCGCCGGTGAAGAAGAAGGGCCGCGGCAAGGTTGCTCTCGAGCCCGGCCACTCTGCGCTCGACTGGGCGAGGCTCGCCAAGTCTGGCGCAAACCTCCGGGGCTTCCATGGACCACCGATGCGCGTCACGATGGAGGAGCTGAAGAAGGTACGCGTGATGGTTTGCGTTGCTGACGTCAGCACAAGACTGAGGAGGACGCCTGGTCCGCGTTTAATGGGATTGTGTACAACATTACACCGTACCTCAAGTTCCACCCCGGAGGCGTCGAGGAGCTCATGCGAGTAGCCGGCCGTGACGGGACCAAGCTGTTCAGTGAGTGCAAGTGCAGCGAAGCGTTGGAACGCCGGCGTGCGCGCCTGTTGGCCAAGATGTGTTGGCCAAGATGTCACTGACGCCAGTGCTCACGCACTCATGGGTCAATCTCGAGCACTTGATGCAGGAGTGCATGGTTGGCATGCTCGTGCGTGGATAGAGCACGTGCACAAGACCAAGACAGCGACATAGAGACTAGCAATAGAGTCTAGATGCGATAACATGCGCATGTGCTTATCAGGCGCGTACCCAGGCCTCATGCCCACACACAAAACAGAGTGCAGGATTTTTGGATGCCTCCGTTCACAAGTAGGATGTGAAGTGTGGTGACGTTGCATGACCACCTGGCTTGGGGCGCCACAACACACACAGTTGACTACGCCTCGCAACGGTGACCATTACTTGGAAGCACATACGCTGCTTACATAGCAGACAAGTCGTATCGTCCACACGACGAGTAAGCCCTGCGACCTAACATGGCGGAAGCTTGCGCGCCCCCACACCGAGGCAACCTGTAGGACTGCAGGACCGCCGAACTACAGAGCCCCCCTCCCTCGTGGCCTTGCCGTCTGATGCAGTTGTACATGCGCGTACAATTCAAGGCCCCGCTCGACCCGTCTCTCCCGTGCTCAGCTATGCGCGCTCTTCGGGTTGTCGCACGGCTCGGGAATGGGCGAGTCCGGGTCGATGTGCGGAAGCTTCGCCACGCCGACACGCGGATACTTGGGGCTGTCCTTGAAAAAGTTCTTCCACGTCTCGAGCGACTCCAGCTCCTTCTCGCTCAGGCCGCGCAAGTCGTGCGTGAGGTGCGTCTCGAAGCAGCCTGTGATGAACGAGCGCGAGGCGTCGCGTCCAGCCCTGGGGTTAGCTTCGAACTCGTGGCGGAGCTACGCTGACGTCGCTGGCCGCCTGCAATCATGCCAAGCTTCAACACCGCCCCACGCCTGTCTGCCCATTCCACCGCCTGACCCACATCATATTGTATCTCCCCCCCTTGCCGTATACTCTGCGATTGGCCGACACATCGTACACCACCCCGTCAATGGAGATGTACACAGGCAGCGCCTCGTTGCTGCCGTCGTACGCGCTGAGCGCCTTCATCGAAAACGTGCGCTCGCCGCTCATGATGTACGCGAGGAGGGCGGCGCCTACGAGCGCGACGAAGAGGACCACCTTGAGGGCGCCGCCGCCGGCGGGCTTGGGCGGGGCGGGGGCGGGCGCCTGCTCGGCAGGCGGGGCTGGCACACTCTTGCGCTGGCGAACTGGTCTCAGCGAGGCGGCGGCAAGCGCTCACCTTCAGACTCGGACATGTCGGTTAGAGATCAGTGAAGTGAGATCGTTGATCGTTGACGTAGTTTGACGCTTGAAACAGGCCTCTGATTCTCATCACATAATCCGGAACCTGTCCACGCGCTCCGCGTGGACGCGTGGTCGGCGGGAGGGCGGGAGGAGTCTCGGGATCCTCCGCCACCAAGGAGCCTGACTAGCCAGTCGTACAGGTCGAGAACCAACCCGGACAGGCGAGATGCTCATCGCAAAGCGGTCGTGGCCGCCGCGACATTAACCAGACCCCTCTCC